TTAGTAACATCGAGGATCCTGCGGTTCTATTATTCACCCGAAATAGACGTGGAACGAACGTAAATGGCGTTCGATATACGATTAAGTTAGTATCCATGTTCCTTGGCTGGCTTGTGATATAAAATCCACTGTTTGTGAGTTTGAGATACTAGCCTGGGTACATTAAATATAAACAAAAGTAAAAAAGATTTTAGTCGTAGTCTATTTTCTTCTTTTTTTTTTACCTAAAAATACACTTCCATCTTTTATTTATCATCGTATTATTTTCAAAATCATTTTTCTTAGAACATACTTCTGTTGCATTGATATATATATATATATATATTCATATTACATTTTTAAAACTTTACAAAATAATATTTTAAAGAAAAAAACAGATGCAGTATTTTTCATTATGTTAATAATTTTATAAAAATTAAATTATCAAAACACTAAACAATTATTTCAATTTCATAACTTAAATTTACAAAATTATAAATTAAACAAACACACAGATGCCCAGGCGTTCTTCTTCGCGATGAAAACAATATAAAGTTGTGAAACCTATTATAATACTTTTCTTTTCTAAAAGTTTTTTTTAATACTACTTTTTTAAATATTACTTATTCAGACATTTTTCATAAATGAAGTTTTTTCAGAATAAAGTTTCTAACGAGTGCACGCGTTAAACGGAGAGCTTTCTTGACATTCGCGTCTTCTCGGAGAAATGAAACGTAAAAATGAATGCGAAACTCGTTTAGGAATCGCGCTCGATCAATTATCGTAGAGAAACACAGAAGAGCAGACACTATAGCTGTTAGGAATAGTGAATAGCCGTATTGGGTGGTTCATCGTTGACAATGACGTTGACGAGTGGAACAATGACGTCAGACGCGTTGTCGATCGCATTCACGAGGGCACGCAACAAACGGCGAACAAAAGCTCTCATCCTCTGTCGCGGAGACAACCGGTATACTGTTCACTCATTAACAACTCGCGTCTTTGCGGAAACAAAGACCCTCAACGTCTCTTTGTTATTCTCGTGATAACACGTTAAAACGCCCGTCGCACAGTTACGAAGAGAACTCGTGAAAAATGTTGTCGCTTTCCCGGATTACGTCGCCTTTCGCAAATTCGAAAGATGCCAAAACTATGTATATGAATTCCGTACATCTGTGTGAATGCGCGCGCGCGTGTTTAGGTGGATTCTGATATTATAATATTATCAAAACTATGTAGAAATCTCGAGGAATTATCAAATGCGAGCTTTAACTGAATAGAACTCTGTATGTAAATTAATTTTGAAACTGCATCGCAGTTACTATTAAAATCCCCCTTGTGCAAAATGCAGAGCGTGTGCGAGGCAAAGGTTGCGATCTACAAACGCGAGTGTACTTCGTAGCCTCTGTCAGTAATAATAATAAGAATCATAATTACCGAAGCCTTTGATAAAATAGTAACGCGTGGAATAACTCGGAAACAAGTGCTTTGACGTACAAAGGAAAATGCTATTCCGACTAATTAAATTCGTTTTGAAGTTTAAAATTATATAAGCTGGCCTTTATAAATCAGTTAATTAAAGTTTATTATCGGGACGATATTCAAGTTTTGCGATAAGGTTTCTCGATATTCGCAAACGAGTATAGTGGATAGATAATGCTCTTCTTCGGTATAATTTGCAGAGATTTAATTAGGAGACCTTCAATTATTAGCATATATATTTTGACGAATGTAAATGCATCCCAATGAAAATGAAAAAGAAGGTCATACTGCTGCATATTATAAGCAAACTGCATTTTATTTCCATTTTCAGGACCGTCTCTTGCCACTGTAAGCTAAATATCGACGTAGGTCGTAGAACACACAGCATCCGTAGCTCCGAGCAATAAAGTGTTCACTAATTTTGCTAATTGGAACAGCCACTGTTTCAATAACTAACTTTTTATTAAACATGAAATAACGGTGAAATTGCTCCGGGCAAGGACACTTCTTCGATAAATGCTAATTTAGACTCGTAAAAGCGGAAGAATAATTTAAGAATATTATGCAACATACATATTCTACCTTGAATCCATTTGAAACAATCTATAATTCATGACAAAATTAGATAGAATTCTGTTTATTACATTGATATATATAATGTAAAAAAATTTCAAAAAATATATAATTTGATATTAATATTTGTAATATATACAAATATGCAATATATTTTCATATTCCGTACACTGAAAAAAAATGGTTAATTTGACTAAACTTTTCAACTAAATTACTATTTTGTTAATTGAACATATATGTATGAGTCAAATATACATATTTTGGTAGATTTAATATATTATATTTTATTTAAATATTTTTATGTGTGTGTTTAATTCACAAAATAATATTTAGTTGAAAAAATTAGTCAAATTAACCAATTTTTTTAAATATATAATTAATCGTTTAAGAAAAAAAATGAAATAGAAAATACTTGTATTACATAATTTAATATACCGCAGATATATGGAATGTCCGATAATACGATAACATATTCTATACATAAAAATCATTATTCGGGCATAATAATGCATATAATAATATGCAAAACTGGTGCATACATTTTTTTCTCGAAACTCTGGGAGCTGGAAAATTCTTGATATTGCTCTCTTCATTTTCTCGTTAATTTCTCGCTCGATAATTATGTTTCAGTAATATTAGGAAATATTAATTGGATAATGGCGCGAATATGATGAACCTCACGTACCTATATGATGAAGCGATAACGGCATCCAACGCCCGATGCAATTTCCCACGACGGAGAGACCGCGAGACTTGGCTGATCTCTCGCGTCGAACCGCCCCTGGTTGGATTCGCGCACCGCGAAGCTTTCCAGAAACAATGTCGGCGTCGTTAATTAATAAACCGCGAACGGATTTCCTCGCGGATTAATTTGCGGACGCGTCAAAGCACGATACCGCATCAGCTGCATTTGTATGCAGTCACATGACAGTTTGGCCGTCTCTGCAAAACGTTCGCGGGAAACACAACGAGAGCATCCACCCCCGGATGTATGGCTCATGAATATCGCGGTCCGTACTGTTGACGAGAGAATCCACGTTAATTGTGGAAAACAAAGGACCGCGCGATGCGTGCTCGTGACGGGATAACGAAGCTAACTTGTTGATTTGATAACATAAGCGAGGGACTTGATTAAGGAGACCGTCTAGGGATTAATCGTGCCTCGGAGTCTATTAGCTGAATCTGTTTCAAGAATCAAGCTCGAAGGCTCTGCCTCGTGCGGTTGTGACGCAAAAGGACCTCGAATTCGGGCGCACGTTCGTCGAAAATTCAATTTTGGAACAACGCGACCGATTCCGGAATGGATTTCGAATTCTAGAATATTTTGAACTGAGATCCCAAAGACGTCTGTGCTGATTGCATCTTGGAGATAGTTTCGAGCAAGGTCGGAATTGATTCGCGACAAGCTAATAATGAAAAAGCTCGTTGCTGTATGGACAGAGAATAAGATAAATCTAGTTTTTCGTTTTTTTTTTTTTCAAGATATTAATATCTAAAAGTGCGATCTGCTTTTAAAGGATAGAAAATGTGCATGATGGTGGTCTATGTGCTGTTTTTTTATCCACTGAAATTTTTATAAACGTAAAAGAAGTTTACAATCCGAAAAGATCTTTTTGATCATATATACACTTTTTTATCGTTCATAAAACATTTTTTAGAAAATATTTTGCAGCATTTTGTAAACATTTCGTATTTTATTTAAATTTTGGAACGACGCGACCGATTCCGGAATGGATTTCGAATTCTAGAATATTTTGAACTGAGATCCCAAAGACGTCTGTGCTGATTGCATCTTGGAGATAGTTTCGAGCAAGGTCGGAATTGATTCGCGACAAGCTAATAATGAAAAAGCTCGTTGCTGTATGGACAGAGAATAAGATAAATCTAGGTTTTTCGTTTTTTTTTTTTTTTCAAGATATTAATATCTAAAAGTGCGATCTGCTTTTAAAGGATAGAAGATGTGCATGATGGTGGTCTATGTGCTGTTTTTTTATCCACTGAAATTTTTATAAACGTAAAAGAAGTTTACAATCCGAAAAGATCTTTTTGATCATATATACACTTTTTTATCGTTCATAAAACATTTTTTAGAAAATATTTTGCAGCATTTCGTAAACATTTCGTATTTTAATGAACAGTTTTTATTATGATTGCAATTAAATAAAAATAGATCAAACTTTTTTCCCTAACTTCTCACTAGCTTTTAACTGAAATTAAAGTCCGATTTCATTCAATTAATGAAGAAGTGTCCGCAAAACCTTATAAATGGAAGTCATCCAAACAATTCAAATAATCTTTTTGTTCCGTCGAAAAACGGCGCTTTCGGCGCTGTTTAAAGAAGCGTTCGGCTTGAAAGAACACGAGATCGCGTTAGATCGTTTGATTACATCTTCAGCTTTATTCTTTGTTCAGACCAGATACTAGTGAATTTCAGCGAGAGAAGATCAGAGAAAAATGTTTTGCGGTATGCATATGTGATAGCGGATTCTCATTTTATTTAATAGCAAAAAAAATAACATTTGTATGTAAAGAGTATTTACTGTTTCGGTTTCATTATATATTATAAAGTATAAAATATGAAAATTCTTATATTATAGTTTATGATAAAAATGTAAAAAAATTCTTTCCATCAGTTCAATAACACAATATACGTATATTACAACACACCGTATATACAGTAAATTAATACAATGCAGCTACATTTATATACGCACACGTGTATGCACTTATGGTATTAAAGTTATAATACAGCAATGTTGCATACTAAATAATAAGCAGCAATTTTGCATTATACAATAAACGCTCTGCAATAACAATTATACTTTTATATAGCGAGCATCGTAAATGACAGTCGCTGTAATTTCCTCGCTGTTATTGCGCTCGCTCAATTCTGAGCGGACTTATTTGGCGCAAACATGTTACAATATATAAAGCGATATTGTAATCAGCTGAAAATTGCTTTCCAGCTTGGCCGAGCGGGAATCGCAAAGGGGAAAATGTTCGGCGGTTAGACGGAGTTGAAGAGAGATGCACCTGCAGCATCCTACTTTTGACTCTACGAGGTACACATAACGACGTCTCATCTCTGGGTCGTATGAGAGAATGCGGTGATGTGACAAACCCCTTCCTTCCGAATCCTTCTTCCGTACGGTAGACTCACTTCCGTCGGTGTGCCGCTTTCTACAAGCAAATCCTTTGATCGATGCTGACGTCGCAGGGCCGCAAACCTTTCGTCGTTGCTCGAAGAAAGCTTTTCGATAGCGGCGCAAAGAACTCGGGAGTCAAAAGTCACGTCCAGAAATTCAAAGAAAATCAGGAAGCTTCTACGGTCCCCGATTTATCTCTTGTGTACCGCAGCATCAGTCATTTGGGGACACCGATGGAGGAAAATTTGAGGAAACGATGGGAAAAGGGAATCTAGACGTATTCTTAAACGTTTGCTCTTATAGGGATCAATAATAAATAGTCACGAGCGATAAATAAAAGTCAGATTGTAGAATAATTCAGAAATAAATAGCATCTAAAGATGCAAGAAATGATGATACAACAAGAGCATACAGAGACAGACGTATATTTTCTTGTAAAATAAAATAAAAATACTTAAAGTGATAAAGTAATAAAGTGATAACGTAATAAAGTGCTTTATTACTAACGTAATAAGGAGATAAAGTAATAAAGTAACAGTAATAAAGTTTGTGTGTACTTTCACGTTATCTCTTTGCTTCGAAATATGAAATATCTTCTTTCCATAAATTACAAATGTTTAATTATGCAAGTTATAAAAGCTGTTTTCTCAAATATTTAAAAAAGAAAGAAAATTTTGATAAAACATGCATTTATATATACATTTATCAGTCTTTTCACATGATTCTCTTACTATATTTGCTTAATAAATCTCTAGAGAGAATTTAACGTGTAAATTATTATAATTTTACTCTTATTATTTTTTAAATATATATAGTTTTATATTTTTGTATTTTTTCAATCACAACAAAATTAAACACAAATAAATAAATCTCCTCTCAGTATAAATAATAGAATACTTTTCTTTTTCAAATTATAATGTCATTGAGAATGAGAAGCATTGAGAAAATACCTTCTAACAACGAGCAGAGTGGAAAAAAGCCGATTTGTCAAGAACCTTTCCTCGTTTACTCTATTTGTCATTTTCTGATTTCCGCTCGTTTCCTTAAAATGGAACTCGAATGCGGCGCTGAAATGTGCACGTGACGAATATTCGATGAATATCATTATCGTTGAAATGGAAATTTTTAAAGAATATTTTATATGTGAATACAATTATTGCCACTCTCACTTTCCATGCATTTTATACATAAGCAATTGTGTAGTCTTGTATGTAATAATTGTTTTTCTGCATCAAAATGTCAAAACTAAAAAAAAAAAACAGTTTTATATGGCCTATAATTTATGAAGGTCTAAAGAACGAGTTATATAATTTTTTTAAAATAAAATGTACTAAAATTGTCTTAAATAACATAGAGAACTGGCAAAGTAGAGTGCATTTTAATAATGTGATTCAATGTAAATGTAAGGTCTGCAAAATTTGCAAGAAGAGAAATACAATAGGATGTCTAAAGGATTGGAAAGATCCTAGAAAAAGTAAAGAGCGAGAGGAAATTAGATGAAATACATAATGTGAAAAAGGTGGAAATAAATAGGAAACAGGAAGGAAGGGGAAACATTGCTACGCGTTCTGCTAGTCGATGATATCCTTTGAACTCTCGTCTACGATAAAGTGAGAGAATTTCCGTTCCAGGTGACAAATCGAGAAGAAAAGATACAAAGATGCCGGTCGGTGGACGAGTCGCTGGTAAAGTCGGGATATACAGCTCCCACTACAATGGTAATATGGATGTGGATATCGTTCTATTAGGTATATATGATGGCCACGTCGACGCCAAAGCAATTTTTCATGTTAATAATGAGATATTCTGTGGGCACGCAAAATTCGTGATGCATATCAATGTAAATGAAGTATAGAAATTGCTTCGGTATGATTGTGGCGAAATAAACCATTGTTGGCAATTGGTGGCGTAATTCTGTTAACAAATGGTCGAGAGGGCTTTTCTTCCTGTATACGATATACCGTAATATTATTTCTATATATCGTGTTCTATATATTCTATATATGTGATATATAGAAAATTTTTGATATTATTTCAGTATAATTTATTTTATTTTTTCCGAATAAATTTTTTTTTTTCTAAACGTGAATTGAAGTCCTTTCGAGAAAAAGAGGATGCGAATATTAATGTTATTTCTTTTCATGTTTTCTATGACGTATTAAAAATGTTTTATTATGATATCTATATATAATTGAACTGCCTGCAAAATTATATTGTTATTTGAAATGTCATTTTATTCCTTTCAAAGCTTGGCTGCGTTAATTGTTGTGCTTTGATTACGTAAAATATTTTTCTGTAATGTATTATAATTCTGTAATATATTTTTTCTATATACACGCGCGAGATATATCTCATATAGTATATAAAAAAATTATGATTTATGTATAATAAATTTTACATTGTACATTTATTCTTGCCAAAAAGGAAATATCAAAGAGTCGAATGTAAACTAAATTGGTACAGAAAATTGAACATACATAAAGCTTGCACACACGCAATATTACTAATATTATTACGCCACTATAACGTCAGACAACTGTCAGGAGACAAGACCTTCTGTGAACTTTCTATTCTCTTCGAGAAGATCCGTCTATTGCATGACACGAATCCCGAAGTAGATAGTTAAATACAAGTCACACTTTTGGCAACGACGTATAATATTGAAATCAATATCGGAATTGTGCTAATGTTTGCCGAATCTAGCAGATAATTTCCGAACATACTAACCCTGGGCCAGCTGGCAATGATGCCCTCTTCCTCTCTTTCACTCATAATTTACCAAAATTTTCTATGTCACCTCGATTTTTAGCATTTACTTAAGATTGGATTTTCTCCAAGTATTTGCTTCGACATGATTTACTGATCTCTAAATATTCAGAATATTAAAACGCACAATTTACATAAATTGTTTTGGACGATAATATGCAAAAATATAACATTTAAATCTTTTAACACAATAAAATTATGACAGCTGAAACAAATGTGGTATTTTCGCTTTATGAAATCTGACCTAAAAACGCCGCATTACTTCATCAAGAAACAACTCTCTGCGCGAGCAGTATTCATAACTCAAATTTAAAATGAGTTTGTATATAGCTGGATCTTAAGATCAGATTGAAGAAACTTACGGCACGCTTCCTAAATCTTCTTAAATCGATCTTTCACGAGCTCATACTTGAATATCTTTTTAAATCAACGAGTTCTTCTATGAGTTTATTTTAAACGGAGACAGGCTTACTTGTTATGACAGGCGGAAAACTAAGTTTCATAGAATGACAAGTTATAAAGATAGCTTAAGAGTAGCAGACTTATAAACGTAAAATTTTTGAAGCAGGATATGACTATGAAAATGGAAACAATACATAGGCTTTGGAAATAAAATTTTCGCAAATCATATTTCCTTGCATGCCAACCAAGCTTCCCTTTATTTTGTATTATGATAAAAATATTGTCAAAATATTATTGTAAAATATTATTATAAAAGCATTATCACTCTAATTTTATAAAAGATACGAATGCGTAGTGTTTTTCTCAAAATAATAGAAGTTCTAAAATTCCTCCTTTTTACGAATGCCTTTTTGCCGCAAAATTTTACGATACGCCTCATATAATACATACATACACACAAAGACTTATCTAAAAATATCCTCTAGGTAAGAATATCATATTTGAATCACATCAGAATGTACAATAATATAATGCATGGGAGAAAAGTATAATATATTCAGCGTGTGGTTCCAGGAAAAGGCTACAGCGGCTTAAATGAGGAGATCATATGGATCAGCATAGGCATGGGGATCACCATAGCGATCCTGATCACCATAGCATTATGCTACATCGCCCGTGAAAAGTGTCGCAAGCGTCACGAAGGATATTGCACGTCCTGACGTATGTTTCCGCCGCCTTCATGGGCATCCTGGTCATTTAGCCCGACGACACCAGGAATACTATTCAGTCCAACCACGTCGAGAGGCAAGCCGCGGGCTTACTACATCACCGTGTGAATTCTTACATACTCCGGAAACAAAGGGGGAGCCTCTGAAAGTCACAGAATATGACGAAATGGATGCAAAGTATATTCTGCATCAACACAGAAGCTATGTGGAAACAAATTTATACGCGCGTCAAACTTGAAAATCTTTAATTATATCTCCTCTCCGAAAAAGAGAGTTTCTCTGATTAAATATTTACTACAACAAAAATATTAATATCTATCGCATCAATAAGATATAAAATATCGATTAATTTTACTCTGTACATATTAGTATTTTTTATTGTGATAAATATTAAATATTAATCAGAGTATATTCTGCATCAACACAGAAGCTATGTGGAAACAAATTTATACGCGCGTCAAACTTGAAAATCTTTAATTATATCTCCTCTCCGAAAAAGTAATCAATTAAAAAGAAATTATGAACGTTTTTAAGTTTATTAAATAAAGTACACCGAGAGATATTTCTCTTAGAATTTATCCTGAAAATCAGTGGTAATCGTGGGACAATATTATTGGGAGAATTTTGTAAGAGTTTCTCTGATTAAATATTTACCACAACAAAAATATTAATATCTATCGCATCAATAAGATATAAAATATCGATTAATTTTATTCTGTACATATTAGTATTTTTTATTGTGATAAATATTAAATATTAATCAGAGTATATTCTGCATCAACACAGAAGCTATGTGGAAACAAATTATACGCGCGTCAAACTTGAAAATCTTTAATTATATCTCCTCTCCGAAAAAGTAATCAATTAAAAAGAAATTATGAACGTTTTTAAGTTTATTAAATAAAGTACACCGAGAGAATTTTCTCTTAGAATTTATCCTGAAAATCAGTGGTAATCGTGGGACAATATTATTGGAAGAATTTTGTAAGATTTTCTCTGATTAATATTTAATATTTATCACGATAAAAAATACTAATATGTACAGAGTAAAATTAATCGATATTTTATATCTTATTGATGCAGTAGATATTAATATTTTTGTTGTGGTAAATATTTAATCAGAGAATCTCTTGTAAATACTTTTTCCAATACTATATTGTTCCACGATTATCATGATTTTGAGGGTAAATTTTAAGAGAAAATTCTCTCTGTGTATAATAATATCGGGATTAAAGCAATCAAAATTAAATATAAAATGTAGAGAAAGATTATCTCTTGCGCGCATTATTGAACGAGATACATATTTATAAGGAAATATCGATTCTCCTTTGAACGTAAAATTTTATCATTCTGTTTTCATCCTTTTTTATGGAATACATTCTCGTTCGCGTAATGCAAAGCCTAGCTGATATTACGCGTTATAAGATAGCAGGCTGAGCTTTTCCTGAAAGGAAAAACACATTTCGCACTATTACGCACAGACAAAGAGTAAAGATTTTCCAGATAGGGGGAGGATTGTCTTAAAGACTTGAGAAAAACGTCTATCCAAACAGAGGACAACAACGTAATGTAATGTTACACGAATCTGTAATACGTAATAGCTATTCGAGAAAAGTAAGCAGTAGTACTGAGGTTCAATAAATTGTGATTTGTTCCAAACGCATCCAGGCTTTGTATCTAATAGTAACGTGGTGTATGTGTGTACGAGAGTTTAGTCGATGGACCATTAGTCTTATTCTGTAAGTATCTTCGAAAGAGTTTCCCAACAGTATTAAAGCGGTGTTTTTAAAAAGCGATATAACGTTGCTGGCTTACAATTAGTTAAAGCGTACTGAAAGGTAATTATGTGTTAAGCAGTTTAACTGCCAAAAATAGACACACCCTCAAACCAATTGATATATTTATGAAAACATATACGTAATTTTTGAAATTTAAATGTGGAACAAAAATTGTGGCTATAATATGTATTGCTCATTCTGTGAGAAAAAAATCTCATTTTTTGTACAAATTCTCGATTAACGTGAAAGCTGATAAAATAAAAGCAGAAATGAATGGAAATAAAATGAGATCGAAAAAAATTCAGTGATTGTAGAATAGCGTCAATTTTGAAAAATATAGTTTCACTGCGTTGCAGATCATCATTATATATATTTTATAAAATGCATTTTCGATTACTTCATCAATTCCTTTTTAATTCAGCTATTTTTATCACGGGCATAATTTATGAATATTTTTCGAAAAACCTAGAAAAAATACATAGTAATTTGAATTATATATTTTTTACGTTGAGCGAATCTAAAAATCAATATATATTTTATATATATTTGCAATATATTTGAATGTCTTTTAAACCAATTGTATTGGGTGTTCCGATCACGAATGCTATCGACCGGAATGTCGTTTTCGTTACTCATTCAGTGCTTTAACTCGGGACAAATAAAAGTGTCTCATCAGAGTGTTCCCAAGCAGAAAATTCTCGCATCGAATGAAACTGCAGTGATTTACGACTATTACGAGCGTTCACGGATCGCACGATTTGATCCTTTATCGTGCCATAAATTACAAATCAGAGCTTCAAGTCTCATTCGAAAAGCAAACAATTATCTTATTTTTTTGCAAATATATAAAACTCTAAATATGAGTTTTTACGTTCTTTTTAAGGCGCGCACGCCTTTCTAAACTTTTATATTAGACTGGATAATTCTTTCGCGTCAATTATGCGCGTCATTTACCATAATTAACTTTGTTATCTCTGCTTTTTTCGCGCCTTGGTATCCATTTATATCGTAACGTTATCACGTTACGATAAAGTTTCAATCTAGCGTTCTTCTTCTTTTTATCCGGTAACTTGAGAAAATCGCTTAACCGTTTCAAAGATCGTTTTTCTCATACACTTTCCTGCTTCGATCGATACTTCGATAACACGCTCTGTATTATTTGGCCTCTCGTAACCGATGATATTTTCTTTGACATTTCCGCGTGATATTTTCTACAGAACAGTTTTCTATAAAAACGTGTATACGAATAATCTCCGAATCAATTTTCATCGTACTGATTTTTCATATATTTTTTTTATTTTTAGAATATATCCGAAAGGAGAGAATAAAATATTAAAGACAAAAAATGAAATGTTTTATTTAATTATTAAAAAAAAAATTAATAACATGCATTGTGATATCTGCAAATGCTACCTTTTAAATCGACGTTAAAATAAAATTTTAATACTTGAATGCACACTAATAAAGATTCTCGTTCCCTCAACAAATATCTATGTTACCATGATAAAGAGAATGTAATTTTCGACAATTTTCAAGGTGCAAGTTGTTATAACGCGATAAGTTAAGTGAGCGTAAAGTTTTACAGAAATTTCTTCTTCAAACTTCAAACGAGCTCTTTCTTTTCTTTTTTCTTTGCACAAATGCCAGATACGTCCAAACGACTTTCTCTAGCGTAGATGTATACTATCATTAGATATAACGTGGATTTCACCGCATCTACGTAATTAATGGAGTACTTTAGATATGTAATCTCGAGGCTATTCAGTATAACGTGTAAGAATTCTGACCAAACTCTAGAATAGATTTCTGAACTGAGATTGTAATTGAGCCTCTCGAGCTGAAGATATCGATTTCTAGAGAAACTATTATATAGAGCAATGGGTATTCATTGTTAGAAACAGAGTGTTCTCGAAGCCTTGTTTTTTAAAGATTAAAACACTTTACGTAATTATATAAAGATATTTCTTGAAAGCTACGATAAATGATAATTGTCTACTCTTTCCATAAAAATTAATTTTTTTTACCATGTAGTCACGAAAACATTTCTTATAATATGAGAAATATATAAGTATAACACTATTCGAAAGAGATCACCATGGTAAATATATATATAAGCTTCGGGAAACTATGTGTTAGGAGTTAGAAAGTTCTATATATTGTTGTGATGTGAGTAAAAAAATGTTGTATAGATAACGCGTTAGAAGAATTTGATAAGTGCGACGCGCGACCGGTTGTCAATCGACGAAATACAACAAAAGTAGGAATAAACTTTTCTCTGCACTATGTCTGTGTTATTTGTAAAAATACACGACTGTTTATTCGCCATCAGATATCGAAAAGAAAGAAACGTGATTTATTGAAACTCTCGTTTCCTCGTCCAATATTTACAACCGATGTATATTATGTGAATTTTTATCTGAATGGTATGTAAATTATTCTAGTAGAATTACACACTGTTGTATATTTTAATCCGAAATAGACTAGAGAAAAAGTTTACGTTGATTAATCAAGAGAGCCCATTTATTCAAGAATAAATATTTTAACTCTTCATAATTTTGTATATCTATTTAAATAAATAAAAATTCCATTTATACAGTCGTCGTATTCGCGTGTAACTGTGTGCATAACAAATAGTCTCTATAATTCGATTTTAATCAATCGAGATGATGAAAGAGACCCGATCGTTAATCTAGCGGAATTATTAATTAATTTGAGTGGACTGTCCGCGTCGGAGGCTTGACACGAACCGGTGACCCTGCACATGAATCAATTGAGTGTTCCTCACGCGTGCAATTTACCATCGTGGACTTTAGACATATGTATTTTATAATTGTCGAGAACGAAAGAGACACGTCTTCAAAGCGCACAAGCGCGTCTTTCACAGACCTAAAATTTAGTGTTATTTTGTGCGTAAATACGATTGTATACATTTCATAGTTTGTATTTCTATCGAAAGTAGGAAGATACGCCCTGCGATACTACATCTGCAAATGACCAACTCGATAGATCGCTGTATGTATTAATGACGTATTATTTCTTTATTTGTGCATTTGTAATGAATAAATTATTATATCGTACCGAATTGTTTTATCATATTTCTTTATCCTTTGCAACTGTGTGATTGAACAGATTAAATAAATTATGTATATTAATAAATTTAAAAAACGGCTTTTCAAAATCATCAATCAAAGCAAAATCAGTCATCAAAAAACGAAATAACTTTAAATTACTAATCGTTCCTGGTGACACGATCGAGAATACTGAATTATTCAAAAGTTGATTAATTTTTAATTACTAGAGGAAATATTTCATGGGAGAATTTATCGAACAAATATATACATTATGTATCTGGGAAATGGAATAAGTGATAGTGAAAACGAGATGCGCAACGAAGAGACATTTTCAAGTCGATGTGATATACAGCTTTGTACATTTATTTTGTAAATCATTATTTCCAAATGATGATAATAATAATAATAATGCTATCAATCATATTAATAATAATTATATTTTGTGATGCCATAACACCTGACAATTGACC